CCCCCCCTTGATTGTGAAGCTCTTTGGGTGTACATGGCCATACATAATAAATGCACTATATGAATACACACAACATAACATAACATACCTTTTTTTATTATTGGATTTCTTAGAAATAAAATAATCAACATGGTAAGTAGAAATACTCTGATTCTGAACCTACCATCTGAATGCTATGGCAGAAATGCCAAAGTAGACTCAAACCAGGCATCCTTTTCTATTCTTCTGCTGTCCATTTTTTTTTTTTTTTAAATGTATTTATTTATTTATTTTTTTTTGTCAATGTGAATAGTGGCATTGGTTTGCTGTTGTTATCTGACAGGAGTGTTACTGCTATTGCTGAAGCTCATCTTCTTTAAGGTTTTATGTGTTGTGTGATCAGACACAACATAATGGCCTCGGTATACTTCAAACAAAATACAAAAAAGCACCAAAAGAAGAAAATAAATTTGACCAAAAGAAGTTATTTTTGAGTTCGAAGCAGCTCACCAAAGCAAACTTTTTGGGGGAATTCATTTAGGCTCCTAAACACCTTTAAACTTTCATTGGTCAATGCACATTACCCAATCGGTGGGTGTGTTTTGGAACTTTATCCTTTGACTTGCTTCGTATTCATGGAGTTCAGAGTCAGAATGGAGAAAAAAAATTAGCACAACAACACCAAGTTAGCAACATGAATACACTGAAGAGTCAAGTAGCAGAGCTGGTACAGATGTATCCGCACCTGTATGATCACTCGCGGAAAGACTTGTAGAGTTTCACACACCAGACAAGAAGCCAAAGCATCTCACTTAGCACAATGTCTCTGGCCCAGCTCTGGCCCACACAATAAACTTTTGCTTGACCCACATGCTGCATTGAATTACAGTACATGCTTGGACCAAGTCTGGCTTCCAGACAAAGGCCAAACATGGACCTTATCTGGGCCAAGTCTTAGCCAAGGTATTAACCCATAACTGGGCTTGAACTGGGCCTGATATATATATATATATATATATATATATATATATATATATATATATATATATATATATACAACTGCAATGAAATTGATAAACACATGAAGCAGTGCACTTTAGGTGCACTATGGGCATGCTTTTTCTCGAAGCGACCTGATAAGTTTTCTTTACTAAAAAGATTATTTAAATGTATTTTAAATGTGGGTGAGGATAAGCCAAAATTAGGTGGCCCTTTTATAAATGTTTAAGGTCAGGGCCAAATACTACATTTGACATCTGGTCCAAATATTGTGTGGCACGTTAAAGACAGTGCCATCTCTGCCAAACCTGGGCTATATTTGGCCCACATGCTGTATGCCAATGTCGGATGAATGCCTGCTGTTCCAGCTGTATTCCAAATCTGGGTCAGAATTCTTTGCAGGTTGTTGCGCCATGTTTTTTAAAGTTCTGTGCATTGTTCCACTCATTGTCTGTGACGTAAGGCTTCTCGCCAGACGTTTATGAAACTTGTCATTCTCCCACAGCCGCCATTTTTGTTATGTTTAGTATTACGCTCAGCAACACGGCGCATTTAAACCCCACCAACTGCAGTGCGTAAGTTGCGGTATACTGTCAATAGCAATCTTAAACTTCTTTTTGGCCTCAAGTGAAGAACAAAAAAGGGCTTTGTTTGACGTATATCAGGACTTTAACTCAACCTAGACTTGGCTATATTGAGTGCTTATTTTAGTTACTGTCACCTTTCTATGAGCTGCAAGAGTCTGGTCATTTTTCTCTAATCTCTGGCAACAATAAGTCATATCCATGTACTGTATATGCCCACAGAACTGCCACTCATTGGATATTTTCCCATTCTCTGACCCTTTCCTGTAAATCATAGAGATTTTCAAGCCCATACATGTTTTGAAGGCATAGTTCACCCAAAAATAAAATCTGCGGTCCCTTATTTTTTTTAAACCTTTTTTTTTTTTTTTTTTGAGTTTCCATCTTCTAAAAAGAATACATGTTGAAGAATGCTATTTGCTGGGACCCATTAACTTCCATAGTAGGAAAAATACTTTAGAGGTCAATGTGAAAGTTAACCTGTATTTTTCTAAATATCTTATTTTGTGTTCAACAGAAAAAAAAAAAAAAGTAGATAGGTTTTGAACAAGTGAAAGGTGAATGAACGATTCCTTTAAGGAAAAAGAGTACTGTTTCAGAATAGTTGGGGAGATTTTATAGGGAAGTACAGATGCATACTATTAAAAATTAAATGGCTAAAAGTTAAACTTAGGTGGTTGAGCCTCAGCTGGTTCTGTTGGCATTTCTGTGTGCATGGTTTCCCCGTGTTGGTGAGCGTGTGTGTGTGTGTGTGTGTGAATGCTAGAGTGTATGGGTCTTCCCAGTACTGGGTTATGGCTGGAAGAGCCTCTGCTGTGTAAAACATATACTGGAATAGTTGGCGGATCATTCTGCTGTGGTAACACAAAAAAAAGAGCTGAGCTAAAAGAGAATCAGCTTCCAGCCTCTGCCACTGAAACTGCAGCTCTGCACAAGACGTTTGGCCAGCGGAGAAATGGTCGTGCCCAACTGAGTCTGATTTCTCTTGAGGTTTTTTTGCCAATTGGTGAAGTTTTTTTTTTTTTTTTTTTTCTCGCCGCTGTCGCTACTAGCTTGCATGGTTCGGGATCGGTAGAGCTGTGCATCGATAGATTTGCTCTTCAGTGTTTGGACTCTCAGTAGTGATTATTAAACCACACTGAACTGAGCTAAACTGAACTGAACTTAAACTCTGACAATTGAACTGACACTGTTTCAATTTACTATGATATTTTATGTGAAACTGCTTTGACACAATCTACATTATAAAAGCGCTATACTAATAAAGGTGAATTGAATTGAATTGAAAATGGATGGATGGATGGATGGATGGATGGATGGATGGATGGATGGATGGATGGATGGATGGATGGATGGATGGATGAAGGAAGGAAAACTTAACTATTCCTTCACTTATATCACATCTATTCCCCATTCTGATGCTCAGTTTAAACCTCAGCCAATTATGACCACATACAGTATACATGGCTAATTGCTGTTATGTGATTGGCTGATTTGATATTAGCATTGAGCTGCAGTTTAACATTGACCTAATAAAGTGGCCGTTTAATCTTTTTTTTTCCTTAGAAAGAAACAAAATTGTGCTGCAATTGTTGCTGTGATCATTCATTTTAAGTATGTAAATCACACAAGCTGCAATTATCTCTGGAAATAAATCCACATTGATTCCTTAATAAGGTTGTTTTGGAGAAAACGGTTTTATAGAGTCAATAGAAGCGTATTGTGTGGAAGAAGCTTTATAACCCATGACCCCTCCAGAAAGGACACGCTTGATTTGATGGTTATGCTGCCTAATAGCTGCTGTGTGTTAGAATTTTGCCTTAGGCAGAATTATTTTTTAACTCCCTCCTCTTTCACACGCAAACCCGCACACACGTATGCTCGCGCATACATACACAGAGCACTTCTAAGTGTGTTTTCCCATAGCCAAGGCCCTTTTGTTGACCCAGAGGGTTACGGATGAGAGCGATACAGCCATCAGTATGCCCACCAGACACGGCTGCTGCCCAGCCATAATGCATTTTTAATAGACTAGACATTTGAGGTTTAGTTGCTTTGTCAAAGTTGGAATTATTATTAGGCTGAAAGTCTTTCTCCATGAGCTGCCAGCGATGACAAAAACGGTAACATTAGCATCATTAAAGGTGCCCTATTATACTTTCTACTCTTTCAACTTCTTTTAGTGCATAATTATGCATAATATTTGCAAAGTTACAAAGTCAACATCAAAGGGGGTTATTGTCTATATTAGTAAACACTGATTCTGAACTTCCTCAGATGCCCTGAGTTTACTTTTAGGAACATGCACATCACAATATCCTGAATTTCAATAACTTCTACACAGAGACTGTAGATACTATACACTCCTTTCAAAAGGTACCCATTTG